TAGCGATCTCTCGACGACGATTCTTCAATCTCTGCTCCCGGGAAACTCCGTCTTGATTTTCTCTCGAGTTCTCTGGCTTCTGCTGTGATCTCTCGATGATCTCTGAAGCTCAAGACGTCTCCTATTTATTTGCTTGGCAGTTGGGCTTCTTCCTTTGCTGAAAACGGAAGTCTGGATGCAAAATAGGAAGTTTTTCCGTAATGCAACACGGCCGTGTCGAATGCAACACGGTCCGTGTCAATTCTCTGAGCAAAAACTGCACTTTAGACATGGGTTGAACACGGGCGAGTTTGAATCAACACGGCCGTGTCGAATGACAACACGATGCATGAGAATATAGCTTGTATGTACGTCATTGATGATGGACTAGCTGGTAGTAGATCATTGATAGAATCTGCATTTTGTTTTCGTTCGTTCTGTTTTTTGTCTTTTTCTGTAGGACATGGCGTCAACCGGTAGCGTACCGAGTTTGACAATGCGATCTATCCTTGAGAAGGATAAGCTGGCCGGGACGAACTTCTTGGACTGGTATCGTAACTTAAGAATAGTTCTCAAGCACGATAAGAAGTCGTACGTCCTGGAAAAGGCTCTACCACCAGAGCCTGCGACCAATGCCACGAGAGCTGTCAGGGATGCTTGGTTGAAGCATCAGACTGACGATATTGAGATCTCATGTCTCATGTTGGGAAGCATGGCCCCGAATGAGCTTATTTATACACCTAGATTTGCGTTATCAATCTCCGTCTTCACCAGAGCTTACGCGCTAGCTCCTCAAACATGGTCTTGAATTGATTGATCATATCAAACACGCTCTGAGAACTCGAGAGAGAATCAAGTCGGAGTTTCCCGGGAGAAGGGATTGAAGAACCGTCGTCGAGAGATCGCTGCGAGTTTCTTCTCTATCTGTTTTCCATGTTTCTCTTTATTGATTTGAACTTGTTTGTTGTTATGGGTAGTGAGTAGTCATTTCACTATAGCTAGGGATTTAACCTTGTAGGGATTTCTTTGGTTTTTATTTTTCGAGACTACGTTATCGATACTCGTCGGTTTAATGGAATTGAGTTTATTACTTTTGATCTTCTTGGCCAGTTGATTGATTGATTTTAGATTCTGATTTGCAACGAGAGTTGGAATTAGATTCGGAAAGAATTCATTCAATGAATTGATTAAGACTATTGAAAGATAGGTTAATCGGTTTAGGAACAATGATAGTGATCGTTAATGCATTTGATATTTTAATCTATTAGGTTGAGAGATCGATA